AAACGTTTACGTGAGGATTAAGGCATGAGTACGTTATAAAAAAAATATTTTTGTTTGTTTGTTGTTAAGCAAAAAGCTACATAATGAACTAACTGGGCTTTGCTCACAGCGGGTATCGAAACCCGCTTTTTAGCGTTTTAAGCCCTCAAATTTATCACTGAGCCACTGGGAGAAAAATGATGTTTTAAGATATTATTATTATTATTGTCCACTACAATAAAAACATATAAACATTTTTTTCAGCCTTATACGTTAAGAGTATATTTTATAATAATAAATTATATTTCTTTTTTGTAAAGTTTTATAACAAAATCTTACCTTCACCTTTTTAGATATTTTCAAAACATCTGGTAAATATGACTGTAGCGGTACTGTTTGCTCTTTATGATTTGTTTTGTTGTAGTCTATTTCAAAGTAGATATAGTTTAATATAGCAGTTGTCCAAGATATGTAACTGAAGCAAAAGGTTTTCTGAATATGTTTTCTTTGATAAATTTATCTTGGCGGAAACTATTTTTTTCTATCTCACATTAGAATGCCCTTAATTCTGGCCTGAACTTTGTAATCTTATGTTTAAATTATTTTAAAAAATTATCCTTACGTAAGTATTGGTTTAAAGATACTTAGACCATGTAACATAATCATTTTAATTGTTTCTCAACTCCAAGTGATTGTACACGTATATATCGTAAGGTAAGCTGTGCTTTTTGTAGTTTTTATTGTTTTGCCAACCGTCGTCTCCACATGTAAGGAAACTCTTCTTTAATTCAATTATTCGTTTATAATTTTATCATTTTGAGATGAAATTTTTTCCTTGGGTATGTTTTAATATTCTGAAATTCGTAATGAAAAAGTATTAAAAATATTAAATGCTTTAAGAACTGACATTTTAATTAAATTATCCTTTTATGAATCTACTATGAAACTATTGTAATGGAGATATAAACTATAAAAGTGTTTTTATTAAATGATTTACATTGAAATTGTCCTTTATTATTACGTAATAAAATATCCTAAAAGGATTATTCGCAATCCTTGTGATTTTCAACTGTAAACCAAATATTATTCTACTTACTATTCAAATAGTTTCGAAGCCTTATCAGTTGACTTCTTTCTTTTTTTTCGAAATGATGAATGTATCATAAACATATCTTCTGCAGTAAATCGGTTTGAATTACTTGGGGCATTCTTCCAACCATTGTTTTTCATAATGACACAACGCCCCCCTCAGTGGCACAGAGGTATGTCTGCAGACTTACAACGCTATAATCCGGGGTTCGATACCCGTGGTGGGCAGAGCACCGATAGCCCATTGTGTAGCTTTGTGCTTAATTACAAACAAACAATAATGACACAAAAACAAATTAGTTAACAATGGACGTATCCTAAAACTCATACTTACATTCAGTTTCTAATTCAAAATTGAAACTATCTCAGGTGTCATATTCATTGCTACTGGGCCCGGCATGGCCAAGTGGATAAGGCGCTCGACTCGCAATCTGATGGTCGCGGGTTCGAATCCCCGTTCCACCAAACATGCTCGCCCTTTCAGCCGTGGGGGCGTTATAATGTGACGGTCAATCCCACTATTCGTTGGTAAAAGAGTAGCCCAAGAGTTGGCGGTGGGTGGTGATGACTAGCTGCCTTTGCTGTAGTCTTACACTGCTAAATTAGGGGGCTAGCGCAGATAGCCCTCGTGTAGCTTTGCGCGAAATTCAAAAACAAAAAACAAATCATTGCTAGTGAATGATTCAATATAATCAGCTTAAAACCCCTCTGATTTATGATTATGTGTTCCCACGTTTGATACTATCGGTCAAAGTAATAAAAAGTGCGTACTAAATGTCGTTGTGAAAAGCAGAATACTGGCGGAGAAAATGAGATCTAAATCAGTTTATATTAAATATACATTCGAATTCTGTGTTGCTGGACAATGTTTATTTATAGATTAATAAGAACAATAAAATAACAATACAAAAAAACCCTACAGTTTCTTGGTTGTTGAATTTGATATCGTTTGTTTTGTGCTACATACCTAAGTACAAAACCCCGTATGTCATAAATATTGTTAATGGTTATTTAGAGGTTTAGTAGGTTATATTTAAACGAGGTATTACAACCTCACCACGTTGTTACAGTCCATATAGCCACTTCTGTTCAGGCTCTATCTGGCATAGTTTGCAATGCAAAAAGTTCAGTCGCAAGGCTGTCATCACCAAAGCACACCACTGTTCCCTGATTGTTTTTCATTATTCTTTTTACTGTACCGTCTGTATGAGGACATCAATTTCCTAATGTCGATTTCAACAATCCCATCGTATAGAAATCCATAGGCGCTGCGTCCTCCGACTTGACATGTATTTGTTGGACGGAATAGCATGAATACTCGTTTCAATATCTAGGTGCTTGGGGTATCCGACTGTTCAACCGATGTATCGTGGAAGCAGCTTATATCCACGTGACTTGTGTCGTGTTTAGAGACTTAGAACCTATTTGATTGTGTTGTGTACAATTGCCTGGGGTGTGTGGACGGCTTTTGCCAGTGACCCTTATATTCGTGTATTTTCACCTATTACAATAAACCGCACTTTGCTTACCACGTGTGTGGTACGACGTATTTTAGGTACCTTTCTGGATGCACCTGGTTCCCCAAATTAATCGATATTCCATTATTTTCCAATGATATTTCCGTCTTGAAAACTATAAATCCCCGATTCAAATGCATCTGTATGGCCTGAGCGTGTGAATATCTTGCGTTGGAAAGGGCTGTTACGTCGTACCCTTCACAAAAGCCATCAATTTTCGGTAACATCACACTGCCTACAAAATGTCAACATGTGGTTCAGAAATATGCCGTTTCGTCTCAGCTTTATACCTGCAGTGGTTGTTACGTCACTTGCTGATTTGCACATCAAAATAATTTGAATATAACGTATTCAACCTTATATAGAGGCCCGCTTGGACTAGGATGAGATTTCCAGAAAAACGTGTTTATAATAAAGTGAAGGTTTAACTACAGGCCAAACATATTTGTTGAATATACTGAAAAAGACTGGATTGTTACTGTGGCATAGTTATTGATCTGAAGGTTCATGGTTTGTGATTCTTTGCTGATAAAAAAATTCACTCTGTTTTTTAGGGCCATGAATACACTGAATGGTGTTGACTAGCTGCTTTCCCTGTAGTCCAGAATTAGGGACATCAATGTGCAGCTTGCATTTGATTAGCTCTGGCAATTTCTACAACAAACAAATATAAATCAGTAAAATTAAAAAAGCAGGAAATAATAAACACAATGAATGTTATACATGAAATTTGTACTTCTGAAAAAATATAAAGTTTTTAATGAATAATTTATCAATATCTTTAAAATCTTAATGAGAATATATAAGTAAAGTGATTAAAAGTTGTTTTTTTACATTTTCTTGAGCAGCATGTGATCTGTTCCAACATTGTAATTGCTATCATTTCTTGTGCATTGGAACATACAGATTAATTTAATTAGTTCAGTGAACTACATTTCGTAAATAAAGATTCATTTCACTTTGATGTGAAAAGACTTCCTTATAGCGGAAGCAATTATTGATGTCCTACCTTTCTCTTTTTTATTGTCCTGTTTAATATAAGCTGAATGTTATAATTTATGGCATATCACCAACGAAATAATGTTTTGGACTTGATATATGCACAGTACTGCATTTTTCATTATTTTAATCGTTAATCACAAAGTTGAACTGTAATTTTTAGCTGGTTCACTTTAAAAATTTCAGGTACTTTTTATTTTCAGAATTTGGTGCAAGAAACCAAGCTATTAACAATTTGTATCAATAAATGAAAAGTTAGAATAATAAATTTTTTCAGCAACATTGAATTCATATATCAAGATGGATTAATTAAAACATCTCTATTCTCAAGTCTGTATTTTTGTTGTTTTAGTATATCTCAGTTTTCCAAAAGACTGTTCTAATAAAGAAAAGAAAGTGTTTAATTAATGAGTTTCAGAATACCGGTAATATTCTACAAGATACAGTGTTTCAATAATAAATTTATTTACACTATAAAACTATAGATGTTTTTTCAAAGATAAAACACTCTTTAAAAAAATTTTTTCATACTACTTCTGGATTTTACAGAAAATTCATGAAGCTTTCCGTAAATATTCTTTCCGAAGAAACTTTAGCGATACAAGTCCTTTCTTAAATAAAACTGGTTTATTCTTTCTGAATACAACTTTGCAATACACTTAATTTCCACAGCCGCGCTATAACAAACGCTATAATTCACAACGAATGTTTCACGTGCTCGACTCAGCTGTCAATTACACATTGTTGCCGTCACTTCTTGGCGGCTTATATATACAAGACTACCGCATATCTAGTAGCCTCTCGAGACTTCAGGAAGGGACGTGAACGTTCGAGAATATGACGCGTTACTAGCGTCACGTGACCCCGCTGTCGTAACAATATAATTCCTATGAAAAATCTTGTTTGATGGGCACTATTTGATATAGTCATATAATTATCAATGGATAGAGTATGATGGATACTTTAATTAACGAACGGAGGTGTAACAATATGTATCACATGACTTTTTTTTCCTTCAAGTAAAATTATCACAGGCTTTACTTAGTTATAGTTTGTTAAAGGTCTTACTTCCCACAAACTAATATATAATGTTATACAAATTATTTGCTACATAAACATGATTTAAAAATATTAACATGTTTATTATTTTGTAAGTTACACCATTGCTTGTTTGACTTCCTTTTCAGGATTCTCCCACCCACCCCCAAAAAAAAAGGACTAATGATATTATATATTAGTCTGCTTCAAGAAGGTCTTAAAAATGTTTAGGATAAAAATATTTGTGAAATGTAATTTAATATCCACTTAAAAAAACTTCCATTTTCTGTCCACTGTATTGCATCCCAGTTTTTAAGCTTATGATTTCTACAGTTTTTACACGTATTCAAAGTATGTCCTTCTCCAATTTCCTTGTAGTTCATTGAGAAGTTCCAGGAAGTGAAAGGTGCAACAAGGCAAGCAGCAACCCACCATAAATCCCACCAGGCTCAAGTGAATGGTAGTAGCATCACTCCATCTACTTCTGGTAGTGGTTCTCCAAACAGCACCAGGAGTCAAACCAAACAACACCCAGTTCCTACCGAAAAAAAATCAAGTGAAGAACCATCTGCAAATAGTGCAACAAACCAAGTAGATCAAATTAGCCTCTCTTCTTCTTATTCTGCTGGAACTCAGAATGAAATAAATAGTCTCAAGTCCCCTCTTGTAACTCACCAACGGAGCCAAAGCTTGTCTCGCCTCCAGTCTGGGAAGGTATGCTCGCACCGAAAGGTAACTTCCCTATTCTCTTTATTGTTCACTATTATACAAGTAGATGTTTTAAATCATAAACTGTAAGTTAAATTAATTAAAAATATATTTTTATATGTACTCATTCACATGGTTTCCATCTCTTCAACTCCTATCAAAATATATGGGAATTACTTCCAATCAAACTTTAGCTTCTGATACTCATTATGTATATAGATATACTATAATGTGCCTTCAGCTATCACAACAAAAACAGGTAAAATAAATCAATGAATATAATATCCTTTGACAGTGAGTAATTAATTAAATGAAACACAAGTCAAGTTTGAATTTTCTTTGCATATTCCTCAATGAAGCTTCATCCATTAGGCTTCTTGTCCTTATTTTGCATTAGTATAATGATTCTCTTCAACTTATGTATTAATAACTTATAAAACTTATTTGTTTTAATAACTTATAAAACTTATTTGTTCTAATGAACTTAAAGATTTTATCCATCATTTTATTGCTGGTTTTTTTTTTAATACTCTTAACTCTTCTCTTTATTTATTGAACAACAAGATTGAGGATATTTCTTTTCTGCTATAATTGGAACGTTTCTTTCTTGATTATACTTTTCTGTAATTATTCAGTAAACTCTTTGGAAAGATCTTTAATCTTTAGTATAGCAGTTACTGAACGACCTGTTATGAAATGTTTTAAATATCTAGTACCTTAGTTAATTGAACAATGTGTTTTGTAAGGCTTTTATTTTTTAGTGTCAGAGCTACTGAACAATCTATTCTGAAAGGCTTTAGATCTTTCATATCATAGTTGCTAAACAATCCATTCTGAAATTGTTTTGATCTTCGATATCATAGGTACTTAACAATCTGTTCTAAAAGGCTTTATCTTTAGAATCGTAGTTACTGAAAAAACTTTTTATGAGTGATTTTAAATGTGAATATTTTAGTTACTGAACAATCTATTATGAAAATTTTTAAGTCTTTAATGTATTACATAATGAACATCCTGTTCTGAGAGGTGTTTTTGTAAATCAATTTAAGTAGTAATTATTTATTAAAGAGAATTGATATAGAAATATCATTAGTATGGTTGCCTCAAAATACAAATTATTTACATAGTGGATATTGTTATGTAATTTTGTGAGATAGATCACATAGCATTTAATTGCTTGTGAGATTAAAAGACTGCATGTTTTAAAGTTTGAATTCAGGGTGCAGTAAGGTTTTGATTTTTAGAAAATAGACCATATAGCACTTAATTGCTGATGAGATTGAAGAACTGCAAACATTAGAGATTGAATTCATGGAACATTAATCTTCTAACAGTAAATGGCCTTTCATTTTGCAAAAAATAAAACTAGCAAGTTCATAGATATAAATAATTCATTTGATAATATGTGTAACTTTATTGCAGACTCCAAGCAGCCCAAAACATCACCATTTGCAAGAAAAATACTTAGTTCCAAGTCTCCCACAATCAACTGTTGAAGCTCAAGCTCAATTGAAGTATGAGAATGATCGACTGAAATTAGCACTAGCACAGAGGTAGGAAACAAATAAGGAAAATCAATTTCTGCAAGATTAATACAGTAATTACATTTCCCTATGTGGGCACATACAATTCACATACAAAAGAACCTCATTAATTTGTACCTTTGAGGGTAATAAAGGATTTAAATTTTCTCAAGAGATCTACAAGTAATTAATTAGATTCTATCTACCTATATATATATATATCATTCTATGCCCTAAAGAGAAAAGCTGGTACTATTTTAAACAGCTTTTCAGTGTAAGATGGCCGTAATTAATGAGCTTATCAATATGATGTATGCATTGGAAGAATAAAATATAAAAACGAAAGGAACTGGCACGCTTTGCATTGTTGTTTTGTATGAAATAACTGCTGTGTGAATTGTTCACTCATACACCTACTATCATTTTATTAATTTTTGTATGTCATTTATTAATTATCTAACTTGTGTATTAGCTGCCAAAGGGTGGAAACATAAGAAAATTCATTAATGTACACTTCTAGCAGATACTAAATTGTTAATTAAAAACTTGATTCACTTCTGGCACATATATTGTTACTAGATGGTACAATTCCTACTAATAAGTTAGTGAAATATGTTTCTCATGGACTATTAACTTGCATCTGGGAACTTATATTATACACAGGATAGATATAAACATTGTATAATTTGTAATTTATTTGTTGATGTTTTTAAAGTTCCTTACGGTATACTGTTTTTTGTTTATAATTTTTCTTATAATCCTTTCCATTTAATCTAAATTCAACTTTTACTTTCTATTTGTAGATTTATAAAATATTATTTGTGATTAATTTTGGTTTCTCTATCTTCCTTTTACAGATGTACAAACAAATCCAAGTTGTATTTTTGTAGTTTAATATTGCATTAATTCAGTCTAGAAACTTAAATGACCCACCAACCTTAAAAGTTTGAGCACACCTGTAGTATAAAGTAACTTGCAGTTTAGATTAAAATCTACATTTATCTTAAGCTTAAAGATTTATGTGTTTTAATTTGTAATATCACATTACAGTCTCATCTTTCCATTTTAACACACATGTAAATGTAAAAACTTTAAGTAAACTAAAAACATCAAAAAAGTTAAAAGTGTACATAATTTGTTAGAAATGACACCAGGATGTAATTGCTGTTGATACCACCCCTCCATCTTCAGGAGAAGCTTTAGATTATTTCAGCACTGTTGTTTACCCTATTTACCTGATGATGGTGGTGTACTACCAATCTGCTGAGATACATAGTTATCTTGCTAGCCCACTGCCATTTTTAATAGATTATTGTGCACTTTTATTGTTTTCATGCATAATATTTGTAAAGGTTTATTTGCTTTGTTTTTTAAATGAGCAGTTAGCAATAGCAGACAAACAACAGATCCAATGCAAACTTTTTACAGATCAAAAACATTCAAACTATATATGGTTAGCAGTTAAGCTAAGAAATTTATTTAAAATAGATATCTTTATTTTGGAGGTAAATTATTGTTTATAATTGGCTGCACAACTAATAAATTAATGTGATTTGTTATACAGTACATATCTAATGTTAATTTATAGGCTGTTGTTAAATTCTATCAAGGTTAAAGAAAAAAATGTTAATGACCATTTATTTATCAGTGTTGAGCTATCTTGGTATTGTTCTAGATTTACAAAAGAATAATAAACAAAAATGAATTTAATCAAAATAAACCAAGGAAGCCATAGATAATGTACAAACGGTCATAAGTGAGATAAAAAGAATATAAAGTCCAATCCATTTAATGATAATTAAAGTGTTTTATTTCTTTGACTACAAGTTAACATTATTAATGTTCACTGATAGGCCTAACTTCACAGAATCACAGTAAATGCATCATACAGCAATTTCACTTATTTGCTAATTCTCGCACTCTAAAAAATGAGTGGCATATTACTTTTTTGAAACTCAAACTCAGTTAAGTTATTCTACATACTCAGTTAAGTAATATCTCACTATTTCATGCAGACTCAATATAGCTTTCTCATACACTTAATAATTAAATGAAATTGACTCACAAATCAATAATCAATCTTTTTAGCTTAATTTACTTTTTATTTAGCTTAAATTATTTCCTAAACTTTCAAGAAGATTCCAGTGGTTAAGCCATGTCTATTCTTCTACATCAAACTTCTCTCTGGTCAAACAACAATACAAACCTCCAAAAACGTCTATAGATAAAACAAAACGAAAAACATAGACTAAAATTGTATGTATTGTTACGACAGCGGAAGTCACGTGATGCTGCTAGCGCATGCGTGACAGGGTTTCTCGAATTATCGGGGAAGTGCGAGTGTGGTCGAGACGCCTCTTTGTTAGTATATAAGCCAAGCAGAGAAAAGCCGGGGATATGAATGATAAAGTGAACAGTAGTCACAGTGAGATTCGGGTAATTTACGATTCTGTTTCGAGCTACTGTGTGTTTTGTACTCGTAGAGAGCGTAATTATCTAGATTGTGAATCACTGTGATTTATAGCGTGTATTATAAAAGTTGTTAAGTTAAAAGTGACACGAAAAGTACTAACTGTGGAATTACTGTGTACTAAACGTTTGTATCGAGAAAGAATAAACTGGTTTAATCAAGATGGGACTTGTATTGTTGAAGTTACTCGGAAAGAATTTTTACCAGAAATTAACAAACAAGCAGATACATAACAAATTGGTGTCAGAGAGTGGGACGGAAAAAAAAAAGAAGATGGAAACGAGAAGTGGCAAATCACAC